TGTGTGTACATGTATAATGGGTGGCAACAGTAGTTGAGCACCTGCTATGTTCTAAGTACTTTATGCACATGGTTACATTTATCCTCACAGCAATCCTATAAGGTCAGCCTTTTTATTTCCATTTTAGAGAAGAGTAAGCTGAAAAGTTAAGCAACCTGCATAAAGTCTCCAAGTAAATGTTAGATGAGATTTAAATCCAGCTCAGTCTGAATCTAAAGTTCTGTCCACTACACAAAATGAGAGGCATGGTGATGGTCTGTGGGTGGAGGTTACCTGTCTGTAAGGCACACACACAATCCACATTCACAATGTCACACACACGTGTTCACACTCGCCTTCACATTCACCTGTAAGGCACACACTCACCTTCACACTCCCAGACTAGCTCACACATATCCATGCTCAAATACACTAACACCCACACACTCTCACACACATTCACTCACACGAAGTGTTTTTCTAAACAATAGATAGAAAGGCCCCGTACCTATTTCAAAGCCCAGAGATTCTATGCCCTTACTTGCTTTGGTTGTGCCTTCACTCAACCACCAAGCTAAGTGGACCACTTTCAGCTTGGCTAAATGAATCTGGATGGGCCCACAATCAATCCAACTGACCAACACTGAGGCCATTTAAATGCTTAGGACAAAGGAACCCTAACTTGCTAGGCTCTCATTCCATGCTCAAGGCTATATAGCCCTTATCTCAACTTTAGACTCCTTTACAGGAAGAGTAGAATAGAATGTAAAAGACTTACCAGAACCTCCAAAAAACAGCATGTCAATTTGTTCCAAAAGATAAATGCAGAAAGTGTTGATCTGTGGGAAAAGCCCAAGGAGGGACATTGCAGGGAAGCAATATAAAAACGCTGAAAGGGAAAAAGCAAAATTGACAATAAACGTGTGGTTCCTGCTGCAAACCTGTGCCCTTCCCTTCTAGGTCATTCCCCCCACCCCACCAGAAATACTGGAGAGTACACTAAGCTCTTTCTACTGGGAGCAAAATCTGGGGGTTGAGATGAAGTAGTGCCTTAAGGAAGTCAAGAAGGAGCTGGTCCTGAGGAAACGAGTAGAGACATGCCCAGAATCGTGCACAGACCTCAAGGATGGTGAGTAAGAGAATACACTGGTTTTGAGTTTGAGAGAGTAGACTTGGATCTGGGGAGTTTGGGGTTGGGGCAAAGAGGACCGACGAAGCTACATAAATAGGCAAAACCAAACGACAGTAGTTATGAGGACATCTTCCTGCATGGGAAAGGGAGCAAAGATTAGAGATAAGGGGTCTGCTTGCTTCGTACTTCTGTAACCTCATATACTTGAGCTACTAAGAGTCTACTAAATTCCAAGCACTGGTAGGAGATTCATAATTGAGTCAGACTTCAAAACTCTCACAGAGGAGTAAGGGAGCGTGGTAGTAAACAAGGAACTTGAGTGCACTATGATGGTGAGACATGAAAGGCCTGATTCCAAGGTGGACTGGATCACCTAGTAGATGAAGGTGGCCCTGGCTGACAGCAGGATGGTGCTGCCTCCCATAATCATAAGAATAAAATCGTGCAATTGGCTAAAACATTAGTGGATTATAATTCAATGGTTCACAGAGATAACTTGTTAGAAAGGGAAAAAAAATAGTAGTACAGCTGCATTTTACAGCAACTTCCTGATCACTCTCTCTTTCTCAACTCTGAGTAGAGTTTGATAAAACACAGAAACTCCCATTGGCAGTGCTATAATGCATCTGTCTTCCTTTCTGTCTCAGTGTATTGGGTTGGGTCCACACTAGCAGAAAAAAAATGACAATGAAGTTTGATATTGGCAAACTTTAATAAAACTAAGGAAATTTGATTTGAAATCCAATATGTCTATACATTGAAACTATATCCTAAAACTATACATAAACATTCATGTGAACAATGGGAGTAGGGATGATAGGGGAAGGTGTTTCAGCTATTTCAGAAAAAATAGGAAATACAAACTTTGCATAGTGACATTTTAAGAATGATGTCATTTGTATGCTTCATTCTCTTTTTAATAGTTGGTTAAAAATAAGTGTGGGAAAAACCCATCTACAATAACTGAGAAAGTGCCCCAACTCTTTATGAAAGTAAAATTGTGTGTAATGAATGTGGTTATGATAAGCAGGCCTTTGCCTGGGGTTAGAATAATGTTTAGTGGTTAGAACACATGGTAGTGTTGTCATAATCTCTTTCATGGAAAGATTTTAACTATACTGTAAAAACCTAGATTGTCTATAAGCAATTTATTTCTCAAAGTAGGCAATAAGATACAAATACGGATCTGCTAGACATACTGTATAAGACACAATTCTTTTTTGTCCCCTTTTTTGTAAATGAATCCAACTAAAAGACATGAAAGGAAAGATAAATAAATATAAATTTAATTGGGAAACATATAGTCATGAGCCTCAAAATTTTAATCCATACAATTTAAAGCAAACTGACTAGTCTTTCTCTTAATTCTGGGTCTCAAAAGCCAGCAATGAAGATTCTATCCTCCACGCCCAGGATAGCAGCAGAGGGAAGGTGCAATGAGATTTCACTAGCACACCTCTCAAAGTCAAAGTGCCATATATGTGACAAAAACCACACTGAGAATGAACAACAGGGGAGAATATGAATGTGAATTAATGTTAAAGGCAGCCAAATACTGGAAGCGGTTCAGCAATACGTGGGTAAAGAGGTATTCTCTATAAGAAATACATTAGCCAGTGAAACCAAAACTAATGAAGTGAAAAGAATCCGAGCACAATGAATAGTGGCATGAGAAAAAAAAATGGTAAGAGACCCCAGAAAGTCATAACCAAAGACGATTTAGCTGCGTGTGCAGAACTAGAACTTAATGAAACAGTGTGGGAAAGAGCAGCAGTCAACAGCAAGGACTGTGCACTGGATCTTCCCCAGGATGTACTAGAGGGTGAAATCTCTAGCCTCTAAAATAAAAACTGGAGGTGGAATGCGAGAAAAATGGAGTACATGTATCACATCTGCCAGGTGGCAGTTAACGTGAATGAAAAAGCAGTCAAATGCTCTTTACATTAGTAAGGCTATTGGAAAATTACACTCGAAATTGCCTGAATTGTTTTCTCCTTTTTTTCCAAAAATAAAACATAAAAAGAGTCCCTGCAGTTGTTGGCAATTTTCTCTGTGAACAAACATTTTTTTGTTAGCATACCACTGAGCAGGTCTATAATTTTCTCTCACGTTTTCCCTACTCCTCTTTTTCCCTAATAATTACCATAAGTGCAGAAACTTCTGGTACTGTTCCATCTCTTTTCAAGCAAAATTTATAAATAAAATACTGTTAAGTTGCTTATTTCGTTTGTTAAACGTGAATAATATTCATTATTATATTTGCAGATTTGGGAATGAAAGAACGCAGAATTAAAATAACATGGAAATAATACTAAAACCTATGGAGTCGGTGTGAATGTATACATTCTATGTATATCTAAAGCACTGTATATGTGTATTAAGTAGTTGTCCTAATCATAGACTATTGAGGCCAAGGAATGAGTCTTTACTCAAGACGTAGAAACGTGTGATCTGAGTGTTCAGAGAACAGTAGGTGCAATTTAGTAATCGGTTACAAAACCTCCACTTATCTCCAAGGGTTACATTTTTGAGGCTGCATTACCATGGGTAGGAGCTTATAGTTCTAAGGACTGAAATAAAACATAAAACTCTCAGCTCTGAAAAGGAACCTAGAGGCCATTCGATACAGAATCTATCTAGTTCATATAACTTTTTTTTTTTGTGTGTGTGATGTCCCTGGCTGAAGGCCATCTGATCTTGCTTGAACTCTCTTTGTTAGGGAACTCCTTGCTTCACTAGGCAACCAATTTTACTGCTGGACATCTCTAATCCTAACCAACTTCCTGGTCTTTCTTGCATTGAACTGTATGTAATCCATCTACCCAGCTACTGGGACTAGTTATTACTGCTACTACAACAGAGACTATGTCAGCCTTTCATCCATCTGAGCTACCATGTGTACCCAAGGTCTTCTTCTCTAGGTTGGACATCTCCAGTCCCTTTAACCAGTTTCCAGACCCTAGACCATGCGGCTGTGCTCCTCAGGGCACACTCTAACCTTGTCACTGTTCTTCTTAAAATATGGTACTAAACACTGAAGACCCCTTGGCTTTCTCATCCATAAGATAATTACAAAACCAGCCTCACTCATAAGCTTTTGCTTAAGTTACCCACGTGGACAGTAATACAAATCCCAGCCCTGAGGCCACCAATCTGGGACTGAGTATAGGAAATGAGGCCTCTCCCTTATTCCTGGAAATAAAAATGAAGAAGTTGTCCTTATAATGAAAAGGAAGTTTGCAGAGTGATATTCTGAATATATGTGAGTGATAAGAAAAGGAAAAACACTTATATGGGAATATCCCTCTCAGTGTTTCTAGCTCCTGGATTTGCCACCACGCCTATAAAAGCAGCTAGCCCCTGCCAGTGCCAGTGACTCCTGCCTTCCACTTTTGCTAGTTTCCGCCTCCGCATTCCTTGCATCTTGCTTTTATACTTTCCTCCTCTATTATTCTATTATCTGATGTTCTCTTCTTGCCTTCTCTGAGTACTTGTTACGTTCTACAGAATAAGACAAGGAGCTTCTCCAGCTTCCCCACCTGCCCAATGTCCACCTGCTTCATTCCCTGCTACCACCACCCCAGCATTCAGCATCTTTTGCTCTGGGAGGTGGAATTTGGCAGCCTTGACTTTGCCTGAAATCAGCAGATGCTGGACCTTTCGCATGCCTCTCTTGCTCCTCTTCCTCTGTCATTTCTTCCCCCTCTGAGAGGCATATGGCTCTGGGAAGAAAGTAGGATGGCAGTGGATAACAGAAATATCACCAAGAATACACAACTCCAGGAAACACTTCACACTCCCGACACTAGCCAGTGAACCACGTTTACCAATACAATGGGAGTGGCACCCCAGCCCCTTCTGACCATGCTATGGAAACAATGTCACTTGTACCTAATTCCTGTTTCTCTCTTGTCCTTTTTCTTAGATGTTCCTTTTGGTTCCTATTAGCCTTTGTTTTCTTCTCCTTGTTCCGCCCTGGACCTCACAATGGCAGCAGCTAGTTACTCCGTAGATCTTTTGGTAGCTAAGAAACAGAGGGTGAAGAGGCTCCACAAAGAAGAAATGACTGAATTACTTTTTTTTTCCCATAAAAATCAGACAACAGTATAAGCCTCTATCTCCTTCCTGTCTTTCTCATTTGTTCTAAATTTATTCCACAACCTTTTCCTGCTCATTGCAAATTAATATGTTTAACATATTCATTCCATAGGGATTGCTATTGTTCTATTTTTCCATTTATTTTTATCCCAGAAGTCATTTAGTCATCTTGCTGGATTATTTATCACCATTTTTACTTGTCACTGTTGACAAGTATACAAAAGTATGTATTAAATAGAAGCTTTAATGGGGGAAAGAGAATTCCAATGAAAAAGCTAAGAATGGCTTGTCCCCTGCTCTCTCTCCTCTTCCTGAAGGAACTGCTTTGAAGAAAAATATGAAGTCTGCATAGCCAATAGCTTATTCTAGAACAAGGGTTACTGCTAAGAGTAAAATCTTAGATTTTTATTAGGTATATTAAGGTCTTACTTTTTGAACCCTAATAATATTTCAAATTCTAATGCCATTGTAAATTTGACCTGCCAACATGACTACATTTATTCAAAAACGTTGGCTTTTTTATAGTAGGAAATTAAAGAGAAGCAAGAATGAGGAAGGAGACCATTTATTTTTTTTTAAAAAATTTCTAAATAGGATATGTTGTTGCTACGTGCTGTTGAGTCAGTTCCGACTCATAGCGACCCTACGTATAAACACTGCCTGGTCCTGTGCCATTCTCACAATCATTGTTATGTGAAGGTAGAAGATGGGACCAAATTTAGGGGAAAGGAGGGTATTAACTAGGCATAGTTCAGGGTGGGGGAGGCAGCAAAACAACTTCCAAGCGAAAGGAACAAACGTGCAAGGATGAGGTGAGAAGTAGCTGGTAGTTAGGATCAGCCACAAATTCTATGACCTGTACAAGGGGGAACTCTAGCACTAACCCACGCTCTAGGTCCTGAGAAAAGATGGCCATGGGGTACAGAAGATTGAGTGCTGGTGGGGAGAAGTAAAAGGCAACATCTTCACTTAGACAAATGTTTCTTGGACACTTTCAGAATCTTTTCATGTTCTCCCCACCTTTAACGCCCGGGTCTGTGCATCCTAGACTCCTGACTCCAGCACTGCTGTTTGGAAAAAGAAGACAACAGGAAAGGATGGCACTCCAGAGTGTGCCAAATCGTGACCTGGCGTCTCTGCCTGCTCTAACCCTGATTTCTTCACTGTAGGTACTCTCCGAAGGCAGTTGAGGGAGCTAATTTACGAGAAAGTAAAAACGACTGAAAGCTTTTCTTATTTTACACGTATGCATGCGTGTCTGTGTATATGTGTGTGAGGGTATGTGTGTGTGTGTGCGTGTGTTTGTGTGTGGGTATGTGTGTGTGTCTCTGTGTGTCTGTGTGTGAATGCATATGTGAGTGTGTCTGTATGTCTGTCTGTATATGTATGTGTCTGTGTGTATGTATGCATTTGTGTATGTGTGTGTTTCAGTTGATAGAAGTTCAAATAATATAAAAAAGTAAAATGACAAATATTAGGAAGTGTAGAAGACAATATCTGTGGGCAGGAAGACAGTGACTGAGAGTCTGATCATGGGATCAGTTCCTATTTTATCAACATTTTTGTTTCATATTTGAACTCAGAGATTCTCTGAAACATGGTGCCAAACCCATTGTTATTAAGAAGCCACTTATCTCCTCACTTGATTTACTAGGAAGCAAGGTGCTGAGGATGCATACAGAGTGAGCATGAGGAGGATGAACAGTCTGCTACCATTACATGAGGAAGAGGAATGGGAAGGCTGGAATGCTTAGCAGACTTTTAACCTATAAGGAGCACAAAGAAAGTTGGGACCCTCCCCAGTTCCACTGGAGAGGGTCAGGGAGCTGTCAGGCGGCTGGGGAAAGGATGATGTAGGACCTAAGGCCTTGACAGTCTCCCCGTGACTGAGAGTTCAAGCTGGCCGGCAGCAAACACAGAGGTGGTGTCCTTAGTAACTTCCCTTAATCAACTCATTTGGTCAATGTGATCATAAACAGTCACAAGTTAACATGTGTGTAAACACCTCAGGTGTCATCACAAGAATTTTCAGAGCCTCAGCAGTTAGGTCTTCAGAGCTGTGAGTCAATATTGGGGTACCTTTTAGCATTAAACAATAATAATAGCTAATCCTATGTGTCAGGCACTGTTCTATATGTTCTAGCATACTAAGTAGTTTAAAATTTGCAAAACCTATGAGGGGAATACTCTTACTGTCCTCACGTTAAATCTGAAGAATTCTGCGCAAGGTCACACATCTTGCAAATCACAGGGCAGAAATTCAAATACAGGTAGTCTGGCTCCGAGTCTGTCCTCTAAGCCATTACAATATGCAGGTCATTTGTTTAAATGGAGCAGTTTACATTAAGGGCTGTGTATAAATGGTGGGCGACCTCAAGGCAAGCAAAGTGTACCAGCAGAAGATGGGGTGACCAGAATATCCTGGACTCAATCTGGAGGAGAATCGTGACAACCCATGTGTCACCAGAGTGTCTGTGTTGTGTGCAATGGGCTGGGGCTGCCCACTGGTGGCAAGTTCAATCCCAACAACACCACTCACCAGGGCCCATAGCAACCGTGCTTCAGGTATTCCGTTCTGCAACTTTTGGACAATGGGTATTAAAATCCTCTAGAATAATTCCATTGTTAGATGTTTTGGGGCTCAAGCTTCCAGATAGTCTCTGAAGGTGTACAAGCCAAGAGGGAGATATGAATCTTTTCATCCAATAAGAAACTAAGGAAGTTTCTCCAACCAGGGATCCAGAAGATAGAGGGGAGACAGATCCTCCCTTCCCTCATATGCTTCCCCATTACTTGGAATTAACTCACCTATTAAGTGGTCCCTAGTTGATTGCAGGGACCCTGGAGAGAAGAGCTTCAGGCCATAGACAACATAAGTAGGAGGGTATCTGGCTTTGGCCCCTGTGTCAAGAAGCAAAATAAGGCCACACAGCACGCAAAAATAGATTGGTCTGCTATATGTTATGATTTGGTTGTGTCCCTAGAAAACAAACACAATTTCTGAATGGTACCTTTTATTTTGATTAAATGGCAAAAGCCTCATCGTCAATAGCTTATACCACATCACACAGTTTATACCATATACCACATTCTCCCCTCTCCCTTACCATAACACATATACACAAAACACCAGGAAAAGAAAAAAAAGTCTGCTGCTTATTCTGTCAAATCAGAATGAGATTATCAAAAAGAATGCTATGCCTCTTGGACTCAACAAGATTTACCTGAAAATTTAATGACCATCCTTGGAGAAAACCTAGATCTAACTCAATGCTTCCCCAACAGTGAAACTTATATTTATATTGCTCATTTCAAGTGCAAAACTAATTTAAACCATTATTTGCTCTATATGGTCTAACTTGGACTGCACTATTAACAAGAAATAAAATTATAAAGCTGTGGGTTTCAATTTCCTACTGTCTTAGAAAGCAAGACAATACAGGTACAAAGTTACACCTGCAGAAACTACATACAATGTTTCAGTGTAGCACAGTGGAATAAGCTAATTTTTGGGGAAAAAATGCTATTTATATAATACCTTCCTCTGAGGAGTATCAAATATCTAACAGACATCATCTTAGCCCTTACAATATTGCTATTAGGAAAAGTACAAACACTTTTAATTCTTCCCCTTGAATGTATGTATATCATATCAACTTTCCAGGGCAAAAGCCAACAAAGAATTTTCATCTCACAAAGCAATGCACAGTTCATTAAGATTCAAAAAACCAACAAAAATGAATTAGGAGGAAAGTATTCTTTCCAATTCATGAACTATCTTGAGTGTAAAAAGTAAAGATTAAAGTGATAGGGTTTCAGATGTGAATTTTGAAAGTTACTGCCTTGAACACCTTATATTTAGAAATGCAATTTAAATTGCCACTGCTTCTATAATAGAACTACTCCGATTCTGAAACCATCCTTTAATAGGAGAGAAAACACAGACTATCCACAGGCGCTGGTTGTGTTTGGCCCCAGGTCTAGGTTCAGTCTTAAATGAATATTTGCACTCTTAAGAAATTTCCTCTTGAATCCAAACAGGCCATAGATTAATGGGTATGGAATACTTCCTTTGCATTTAAAAAAAATATTGAAACTAAAGCCTAAGCTAAATTTAAATGCATCCATAACAAGCAAAAAAGCAAAATAAATTTGTTGGTATTAATAACTATTCAGTATACAAACACATCTGCATATAAGATACTTTCTCAAAATGACACTTTATAGGATATGTAATTAAATAGTCAACTCCCTCTTGCCCTGATTCTTCTTTTTTAAAAAACATTAAAAATACATTACCTAGGAACTCAAAGTCCTTGGCCCTCAACAAGTTTGAGATATCATTTTGGATCTTTCAAGTCAAAGTTTAGTTACTGGGCGTAGAAACGCTTTCTTTGTATTTGTAATTTTTGAAAAATTCAGGCTTACTTACAAAGAGCCTGCCCTCATTATCACGTGCATTTTTTAATCTCATTTCTCATACTGTGTTTTGGGTCTCCAAACCATTTTAAGCATATCACTAATACATGGCATTAAAAAAAAGTTGCCATTGAGTCAATTTAGACTCATGGTGACTCTGTGTCTGTTACAGTACAACTGCTCCATTGGGTTTTCAAGGCTGTGACTTTTCAGAAGCAGATCACCAGGCCTTTCTTCCAAAGTTTCTCTAGGTGGACTCAAACTGCCAACTTGTCAGTTAGTAGCTGAGCACTTAACCATTTGCACCACCCAGGGACTGCACATGTGGCATATAGGTCATTTTTATTTGCCTTCCTAAGAACACATACTCATAAAATTTCCCTGCTCTCTGGTTCCTTCTTTCATATACAAATTAATCATCAAAACCTGCAAGGATTGCTTGTTTATTTTTTCAATAGAAAAATTTCCACTCATTCCTCCAGATCAAGTCTGATCATGGTCTTTAAAAAATTCATTGGACTATATTCCCCATCTGTGTTTTAACTTGACAATGCATTGTGGGGAGCACTGCAAACTTCAGCTGCAGCACATCTTGCGAGGCAATTTCACAAAAGCTGATTTATGTGTGCATTTGGGTTTTCCATCATACTCACCTACATATACAATTTCACGGCCACATTGTAGTCACAGTGCAGCAAAACCATAAGGGGAAAGAGTCTCACACCACCTCTGGGGACCCTACCTGTGGGGCAGAGACATCTGTGGCTCAGTGAGGAGGCCCTTCTAATTATCCTCTAATGAAGAAAAGGGGCTGTTTCTAACTTTTTGTTGTTGTTAAGAAAATAAAAGCTTTTCATTATAAGGAAAAGGGGGTGTCTGCCAGATTCTTAGAAGACTCAGGGACTAGAGTGTATGGGTCTCGGAGGGACAGAACTGGGGCTATAAAGGCAGGCACCAGGCTTGCGCCCCATCTCATCCCAGCCTCATTGCACGGTCAGCTTTCTGCTCATCAGCTGTCTGCTTCCTTATTCACAGGCAGGAAAAAGCCACTTCCCACCGACAAGAGCTTACACCTGTGCCATCCCGCCACATTCAGAGGTCCAGCTTATTGTCTGAGACTGTTGTGAACCAGGGCTTTGAACTGGTTTGAACACCTGCTGAGATCTGCATTCCTAACAAGTTCCCAGGCAACGCTTATGCTGCTGGCTAGGGACCAATTCTGAGAACCACTAGTAGAGCAGTAGTTCTCAAACTTATTATACATAAGAATCACCTGGGGATCTTGTTAAAATGTAGATTCTGTTCAGTATATCCGGGGTAAAAGTACAAATTCTCAGCAGGGGTTTGAACCGGAACGGAACCGGTTTGAAGCCCTGGCATAAACAACAGCAACAGCTGCTAATGCTTATTCAGCTTTGACCATGTGCCAGGCACGGTTCTACCTGCTTTAAGTGTATTCATACAGCTCATCCTCATAACGCCCTGAGAAGTAGACACCATTATCCTCATTTTGACAAGAGTAAACTAAGCATAAAGATATTTTCCCAAGGCTTCAAGGCAGAAGACCGTGCCGCAGAGCCAGGATTTGATCCCTGGCTGCCTGGCTGCTGGTCTTGCCCTCAGCAGTTACCCTGCCCTGCAACCCACAACAGCCAGGGGTACATGCACTGGGCACTGGATCCTTAAAGGCCTTCTCAATTTCACTCAAGTTCATCATTCTTTAAACATGTAATGTCAATCTTACTCATGTGAAGCAAGTATAAAGTGTGGGGAAAGCATTAGTAACAGCTTTGGTGTTTTAACTTTTCCTAAAAGGGCTCTGGGCAGTGAAAAACCCTCCTTACCTGGGGAGTGTGCAGAAAAACAACAGCTATTCCGTTCAGTCCCTCTGCTACTGCACCATTACATTATGTTTACCTGCATTTAACTCCAAATCACTGTAATAAGGGTTTGTTATTTTTTATACTTTCTTACCACGGAGTAGGTTAGTTTACTTAAATACAATTTCATCATGGCTGTTGATCATTTCTCTTTTACTTTAGCATTAGCGGTTTGTCTGTCTCTTTAGAGTCATTCTAAACATTCTAAAGTATGCACTTCATTTCCCCTTCCACATGGAGCACAAAGGAGGGGAGGCAGTGGGCATCCTCTACGCTACAAAAACTGAGCCCAAGTCAAATCCTCGGCAGCAAGTACTCTCTGGCTCAAAAGCCCACATTCTGTGTCTATAGGGAATTCCAAAATGTTTTAAAGAAGACATATGGGAGATAAGCAGCAATCAAAGGTCAAACAATTCTCAAGAGTTGACTATTAAGATGCTACTTCAACTTAAATATGGTGGAAATCTGATAGAATACTTAAAACATTTTAAAAAATAAGCAAATACGTTTCTTTAAGCTTACTTTACAATTTAATGCTGCAGAACACTTTATTGTAGGTCCACTTCCTAACTTCAAGTCTGTGACTCTTGACAATGGGCTCATGTAGTTGTCTAACCAAGGGTTACCAAAATGAATATCAAATTACCCAACAGAGAGATGTCTTCTCTGCGACCACCAATAATTTCACATATTTTTCCCACTTCCTTCAGCATTTTCTTCAATGGCAGTGAAAGATATTGGAAAGTTCTAGCCCTATTTAATTGTAGAAATTTAGTCTATGAGAATAAAAAGGTGGTAATTTGAAATGAGTATGTTTTGAGCAAGCAAATACATAACTAATAGATTAATAGCATTTAAATTTTAATCAAGATGCACTAAAACTAACTTGACCTACTTGTTTCTAGGATAGAGGGTTGAGAGATTATTTTTATGTTCCTCAAAATCATTCCACTGATAGACACTACCTTCAGTCAAATGATCGAGGTCAGCATCGACAGCCAGAAATCACACTGACAGTACGTACTCTTAATATGGGAGCCTTGGTGGTGTAGCGGTTAAGAGCTATGACAAGCTGCAACTGCTAATCAAAACGTTGGCAGTTTGAATCCACCAGCTGCTCCCTGGAAACCTGATGGGGCAATTCCACTCTGTCCTATTGGTTCACTATGAGTTGGAATGGACTTGACGGCAACAGGTTTATCCTTAATATAATGTGATGAAAATGGCACTTTACTTCTGTGATCTTCCTCCCAAAAACTCATAAGCAGTCTAATCATAAGAAAAACATCAGACAAATCCCAGTAGGGGGACATTTTACAAAATACCTCACCAGTCCTCCTCAGAACTGTCAGGGTCATCAAAAAACAAGCAGAGTCTGAGAAACTGTCACAGCCAAGAGGAGCCTAAGAAGACATGACAACTAAATGTAATGTGGTATCCTGGATGGGATTCTAGAAACACCGAAAGGACATTAGGAAAAAACTGGGGAAATGTGAATCAAGTATGAACTTTAATTAATAATAATTCATCATTATTGCTTTATTAATTGTGGCAAATGTACTATACTATTGTAAGATGTCAAAAATAGGGGAACTGGGCATGGGGTGTTTCCTGGCGGCACAGTGGTTAAGTGCTCGGCTGGTAACTGGAAGGTCAACCACTTGAACTCATCAGTTACTTTGCAGGAGAAAGATGTGGCCGTCTGCCTCCGTAAAGATCACGGTCTTGGAAACCCTATGGGGCAGTGCTACTCTGACCTTTAGGGTCACTATGAGTCGAAAGCAACTGGATGGCAACAGGTTTGCTTTTTGTTTTGTTTTGTTTTGGGTGTGGGGTATATGGGAACTCTCTGTACTATCTTCCCTATTTTTCAGTAAAATCCAAAAGTGTTCTAAAAAAGTTTATTTTAAAAGGTTACTCTTGATGATTTTTATATAACCTGAAGTAGATATCAAATGTCTTCATTGTATAGTACTAAGAGGTCATTGAGTAGAACACATAAGAAGTTATAGACTTTGCTCTTTGTAAGCAGGGAAACAAAATATGCAGAGTGGAAAGAGAAAGGAAAGGAAAACTTTAGAGGGCTTATTGTATTCTAGGCCCTGTACTGGGCACACTATATACAGTGACCGATTTACCCTTGGCCAAATCCAATCGAGGTTATTATTATTATCCACATTTTGGAAAAAAAAAAGCAAACATTTGTCAAGTGCTTCCGTAGGGCCAAATACAGTGCAAGCACTTGAGGTGCATTATCTTGTTTAATTCCTCATACAATCCTGTTCTATTATTTCCTCTTTTATAGATGAAAAAAACTGAGATTCAGAGAAGTACCTTTCCCAAGATCCCATACGTGGTACTTGGTAAGGCTGGATTCAAATCTCAAAGCCTGTACTCTTTCAGTTACCCCAGTGTTTCTCAGTGTGTGCGCTGAGATCACCTCCACCATAATCACGTGGGAGTTTTGTTAAAATGCAAATTCCCGGGCACCCTAGATGCACTGACCCAGAATCCCAGGAGGTGGGCAGGGAAATCACCTCCATGCAGGTGATTCCAGAGTTCACTACTCTAGTTTTTGCTGCATCTCAGATATTCTACTGAATTTTTCTTTCTGAGTCATCAGTAGTGGCTATTGGTGGTTGGACCTGGTTTGAATAGAGAGCTACTGATAACACAGGATATAAGGCCAACATCCTTGTACTTAAATTATGCCTGCTGTCCTCAGACTTATTTCTGTATTGCTAGCCTCAGACTCTTAGACGTCTTCCGGTATCCACTTCTGTCTCTTAATTTTTTTTAAGCTCTCCTGGGTGTGTTTTCTTTTAGAATCAGACTAATTTCTTTTAGGTCCAGCATCTATTGTATCATATCTATTAGCATGTCAGTATTAATTTAACACCAAAATATCCAAAAGGCTACATCAGGCTATATATATATATATTTACTGTCTGCTAATTTTAACAGCTTGCTCATAATTTGCCACCTATGCTCCTGGAAGGAAGCAGAGAAGAACTCAGTCAAACACCCAGACAGCAAGAATTGGCTGCGTGTATTGACAGCCCCTCCCCCAAAGACACAGAGTAATGTAGTTTAAGAAGCAGTTTGGTTCATTGGATAGCCTCTTATGAATGAAAACTCTTCCAGGGCTACAGACAAATGTAGGCTTGAGAACCAACTCTGCCCCAAACCTTGCTTCCCAATCTTGACCAGCTCCTTTCTCAAGTTTTTCTCATCTACAGATTGGAGATCATAAATCCGTCTTCTAAATACCCATATGGCCCGGTCAGATTGCAAGAGGAATTGTTTTATAGCCACCATATTTTCTTTCCTCATTAGAACTGTCAGAGAAATGGCAACTCAGATGTGGGACTCACCTCTAGGAAATCTGTGTAAAGCAAATTAGTCACTACAATAAACATGGTTAGGTGTTTGCCTGTGCCTCACTATGACAGTAAGAAATGTCTTACTGTCTCAACTGCCCCATGCTTGCGCATAAAAAGTAATCGTAGCTTGATCTATTCATCAAGGAACCACACAATAAAACTCCAACTTAGAGCAGGGACAGAGGTCATAGCAACAGACATTACACACTCATGGAGATTACAGCAGCTGCACTTCCATGCACCTTTGCAGGCAGGGTCTGCGTTTTTCCTGAAAGTACAGGCAGGAAATGAATGTTTGATAGCACACAACCCCCCTCCCCCATGCCACACAGAAAAGCATGACACCGAAGTGTGATTGCTGAAAAACAGGCTCACTGGAGCAGGGTAATGGATGATGGGGGTGCAGGGTAGGTTTGAAGGAGAAATTTCAGAACTGCACTTCTCTGCCCACACCACCTAACCCAGATTTCTGACTATAATCACAACAATACATCTTAAAACCCTAATTATGCTGCTTCTACCTATCTTGACATTCAGACTCGGGGATAAAAGAAGATGTATTATACATAAACCAATTATGGGGAACAGAGGAATTTAACAAGATAGCAACTTATGCCATGTGATCATCCAATTATAAGCTTTTCTTAATTACTATGAGTTAACACGAGCTATCAGAGATTTAAAATCAGCCCTAAATCCTGGATATGAAATTTTCAGAAGCACAACACAGGGAAGATCAGCTTTCTTTCTTTGGAAGGGCTTCTCAGGGGCCCACGGAGCTCACCATAACAAAGGAGAGAAGGTTGCTTAAGGAGATGGGGCGTAGCCTGGCAGTGAACTCAGTTCCAAGGCATTTGGTGGGGGGCTTAGGGGTATTACCAGACCCTGACCCCCTAACTCCTGGCACTGCAGTGGGTCAGAGGACACTTCAGGCACAGCAGAGCTCATCAAAGAATGCTGCATCACTAGATCTACGTTGGAGAGCCCAGAATCTCAGCTATGAATTACCCAAAATTACAGGGATAAAAGTTAGGAATACACGTGAAAACATGGAATAAGAAGGGATCAGTATCATGTAAAAAAAGACTAATGATTCATGCTAACATAATAGCTAATATTACTACTACTAATAGCTAACATTTTCTGAGCAATTTCTATGTCCTAGGCACTGTTTTAAGCATGTTACATGGGTTATTTCATGTAATCCCCATACACATTATTATTATCCTTATTTACATATAGAGAAACTGAGGTATGGAGCGGACAAGTATTTTTCTCAGTGTCAAGCATTCAAAAAAGATAAAAAGTTAAAGACATAGCTACCACGTGACCCAGCAATTCTGCTCCTAGGTACATACTCAAGAGATTTGAAAGCAGCAACGCAAACAGATACATGGACACCAATGTTCACTGCAGCACTATTCACAATAGCCAAAAGGTGGAAACAACTTAGATGTCCATCAACAGTGGATAAACAAAAAGTGGTTTATACATACAGTGCAATACTACTCAGTCATAAAGAGAAATGAAGTCCTGATACAATGTGGATGAACCTTGAAAGCATTATGCTCAGTAAAATAAGTCAATCACAAAAGGACAAATATTGGATCATCTCACTTATATGAAATACCTAGAATGGGCAAGTGTATAGACATCAGAGTTTAATAGTGGTTACCAGAGGTGGAAGGAAAGGGGAAAGGGGAATCATTGTTTAGGATGCACTGAGTTTCTGTTTATAGTAATGGAAAACTTCGCAATGGTTACATAACATGATTAATGCAATTAGTATCACTAAATTGTACACATGAAAAATCTTGAATTGGCAGATGTTGTGTTATATGTATATTTACAAAAATAAAAAAAAAATGAAGTGGAGAAGAAGGAAGCAGAAGCTCTGGCAGTCTCATTGCAGAGTCTGCAGTCAGATCCACTAGGCTGCACTGTCTTTCCTTTCATTAATCTAGTGGCACAGAAAGGATCCCTTCATACTCTCCCTAACCCCCAACTCCTACCCACACCATGCTTTCAGACCGAGCCTAAACTTGGCCACCAAGCATTCATATTTCTATTTGGCATCATCCATTCATTTTGCCTTCTGAATAGATGCTGGCCTTTCTCCTATCGTCAGTACAAACAGACAAGACAAGCTACTTGCCTGTGTTTAGAAACTTACATGGATTGGCGAGGCAGGGTCAGGCTGAACACTCTAGAACACAAATCAGAAGTGTTGTGTCATCATCTTATGAGTTCAAGGACACGTTAGTGAGAGCACATGCTACAGGTAAGAATGAGATGTGATCTTGCCTTTAGCAGAGAATACTGGCAGCTGGCCATGATCAGGCAGAAGAGGAGAATCCACATATCTTTGCAAAAGCCTTGGTTCAACGTCAGAAATCCGAGGAGGGAAACGAGGACAATAAGTAAAATAGCCAGCACGTTTTCCTTGACATCTTTAGTTCTGTGCAAAACAAATAAATAAAACAAAAAGGTAAGTTTCTTTTAAAAACAGAATGCTCTCATGCTTCTGAAAAGACCGACAGGGACAACAAAGCAATCACCTCCAGCACACCTTTGTATTTACTAACAAGATTTTAAGGCTTCTTTCTTTTCTTGTTCTTGTGCTGTAAAAATAAAATCTATTTTTTAGCCCCGATTTCTGTTATTGAAACAAATGAAATAGAATCCCATTGGATTTCCTTGGCCACTAAACTGGGTTTACTGGGAAAGAGCAGTTCACTCTTCCAGCCAAAACAATGAGATGTGTTTCAAATAAAGAGCTTCACGGGCTCTTTTAATGGAAAGGTGGTGGTGCATTAACACCTGGCTAAAGCAGGAAATCATTTCCAGACATTATCTCCACAACCAAATTTGGCTGCCCAGTTTGAGAAGCTGGAGAGCTCCCGCCAAAGAGCTGAGGAGAGGTCCCAGACCTGACAGGGGCTGGCTGGTCATCAAAGTAGACCCTGCCACACTTTCTCATTGGAGATTTTCCCTGTGCTGCTCAGTGGGGCAGCTGCAGGGTGGAGAGGGGAGCTCATTAAGAGGTGGGGGCTTGTCAGGGAGTATGCTGAGGGGTAGGGGGTGAGGGCATTTTAGGAGACTGTAAAGAAAGGGGCTGCAGGACTGGATTCTGGAGCCTGAGTAGGATGGTGAGGGAAGGGCTGTTTGATGTGAGGAGACAGGTGGGTCAAGGGTTAGAAATGGTTTGGAGACATCTGAGGGTGTTATAAGGGAGGCTATGAGGTTATGAACAGAGACTGGGGTTGTGACTGCAGAGGTGGAGAGCTTTATGGGATGACAAGCTCCAGGATGGTCTGTGGAGGGAGTGGCTGGAATGGAGTCATGGGGGACAGACAAAAAAGTCAAGGAATGAAAAGCCTAGCAGGTAGGTGAGTAATTCACAAGAATTCTGAGTATCCTTCTCACCTCACCAATTTTTGTTCATGTACATATTTGTCTTTCTCACTAAATTGTGATTCTTTAGACAGGGTACATACTCCTGAACATGGCTGGTACAGTAGGCACTTCTGAACACTGTTTAAATGAATAAATAAATGAGTAAATAAACAGGCTGCAACAAGAACTCAAGTCTAGGACTTCTGGACAACATGGTGCTGTAAGCAGAAGCACCACACCATCCCTCCACAGCATGGATCCGAAAAACTAAGCCAAACAGAGAAAACAGGAATCCTGAAACCCTAAACATCAAATGAAGAGATAAAGAACTCAGCCAAGCACCGAATGGAATAAGAAACTGACAGTGAACAGAGAGCGAGAAGAGATACATGCAGGGGTTCCCTAGCAGCTAACGCACCACAGATCCACCATCTTGGACCCCTATCAGAGACCACTGAACAGGGGGTACGAGAAAGCAGCTTCACAGAGCTTCCAGCAGGAGACAGAACAACCAGTAACCAGCAATATACGCTTTCCCACACCCCCCCTTCTTCACCCCCACTCGGCCTCCTCTGCTTCCTGTGGCCACAGTCTCTTGGCCAGGAAGAACTGGCTTCACCCCAGTGTCACTTGGATTCCACCCGCCTGCACTGGCCGGCTCTCTAAGTGCCATTTGTTGGCTGTTGGAGTTGCTTTTGTCCACTCTTTAGATTTCTTCCTTACTTCTCACCACCTCCCCCTCCTTTCTCTCAAATACCTGGCTCCCTGTGCCATCTTTGCTTCTTCCTGAAATGCTGTGAAAAGCCCCTCATATGTAAGACTGCTTCCTGGCCCATGCTGCCATGTTGGTGGGATCCCAGGGCTTTTTTGTTTGTTTGTTTTGAATTGTTTGTTTGTTTGTTTTCTTTTTCTTCTCTCAAATTGGAAGCCAATTCTAGCCAGGCAGTACTGCATGGCTTGGGACCTACCCCCTTAGTTTGTGCAGATGTGCAGAGGGATCCCTGAGTGCATTTCTTTTTTCTTGGGGTTTTTTGTTTGTTTGGTTTTTGGGGGGGGTCTGGTTCTTTTTTTTTTTTTTTTTTTTTCTTCATTACTCAGTTTCTCATCTCTCTATACCTTCCTTCTCTTCCTGTCCCCTGAATACCTGGTGCTGAGTGACACCTCTACCCCTTCTAGCCAGGCTGTACTTCACAGCTTGGGAGCAACTTCCCTAGCCCTTGTAGCTGCACTGTTGGGATCCCTGGGAGCTTTGCTTTTCTTTCTAATTTTTATTTATTCATTTTTTTCTTTTCTTTCTTCTTCTTCTCCTTCTCGTTTTTCTCCATTTCATAGTCTCTCATCTCTCCACTCCAATGGCAAGCTCCCCTAGCACTCTTTTTTGTTTGTATGTTTTTGGCTCCTGTTCCTCTCTCCTCTCTCCCATACCCATCTTAGCTCCACACATCACAATCTCCCCCCTCCATCCTGCCTACCTGCACTGTGCACTGAACATCATACTATCAAGTAACCCCGGCACGGCCTACCAGAACCTGCCCTGCACTGATTATCAGCCCGCCCTGGAGGGCATAGTAAGTGCCACAAACAACCCATCCCAGCAACTCCTCTTCAACTAGAACTGCCCTGCTGTACCATATCTGAGCAACTGACCCTGCCAACTGGAGGAGGCAAAAAGTATCATGCCCACAGACAAGCAAACAACAAAGAACACACAGGCTGCCTGCTCAGACATAGCCAAATAAAACAAAAAAAAGGATGAAACAAACAAATCTACAATCAATAAACGAGAAAAATAACTACAAAATGCCCCAAAGACAGCAGATAATATCAAAACATTTACAAAAACAGGACAGGATGGTTCCAGTAGGCGTCCAAAATAAAACACCAGATGACCTTCCAGTAGAAGAAAAGGCACTAGAACTACCTGATAGGGAATTCAAATCTCTAATATTCAGAGTATCCAAGAGTTGAAGCAAAAAGCAGACAAAAATGAGGAAAAAATAAACCAGTTCATAGAAAAGACAAATTCATGGAAAACACAGACAAAAAAATGGAAGAATTCAGGAAAATAATGCAGCAATAAAATGCTAAAATAAATTCACAATTAGAAATCATACAAAAACAACAATTAGAAATCCAAAAGATAAACAAGATTTCAGAAATGGACAGTGTCATAGAAGGGCTGAGAAGCAGGTTTGAAACAGTGGAAGACAGAATCAGCGAAATTGAAGACAAACACCTGGATACAACTCTGTTTGGGGAAAAATCGGAAAAAAGAATGAAGAAAAATAAAGACACCCGAGAATTATGTAGGATACAATCAAAAGCAAAAATCTGCGAGTGATTGGAGTTCCAGAACAGGGGGAGAAAACAGAAAACACAGAGATGATCACTGAAGAATTGCTGACAGAAAACTTCCCCAATATCATGAAAGATGAAAAGCTTGCCATCCAAGAAGCTCAACGAACCTCATATAGGATAGATTCCAAAAGAAAATCACCAAGGCATATCATAATCACACTCACCAAAACCAAAGACAAAGAATCCTGAGAGCAACCTGAGAAAAGCAAAAAGTCACATACAGAGGAGAAACAATAAGATTAAGCTCAGATTATCTGTCAAAAACCATGCAGGCAAGAAGGCAATGGGATGACATATATAAAACCTTGAAAGAAAAAAATTGCCAGCCAAGAATAATACATCCTGCAAATCTCTTGTTCAAATATGATGGTGAAATTAGGACATCTCCAGATAAACAGAAATTAAGAGAATATGTAAAAACCAAACCAAACTTACAAGAATTATTAAAGGGATTCCTTCAATCTGAGAACAAACAACATCAGCTCACAGGCTGAATCTAGTACCCAGGATCGTACTACCCAGATACCAACCCAGGAAATGAACTCTCAAGGATTATCCAAAACCAAAAGAAATACAACAGGGAATCAGAGCAGTTAATCTGCAAATGACAACAACATCAGAACAATAAAACAGGGAAAAAACGGTGTAGGTATGGAACCTTCTAATGGAAAGGAAGGCAAGGCGATACCAACTAATAATAGATAAGTGGTAACTTTGGTGAAGGGTAAGACAGTACACGATACTGGGGAAGCCAGCACAACTTGTACAAGGAAAGGTCATGGAAGCTCCATAGACACATCCAAACTCCCTGAGGGACTGAATTGCTGGGAAGAGGGCTGTGGGGACTGTGGTCTCGGGGAACATCTAGCTCAACTGGCATAACACAGTTTATATTGACAATGTTCTACATTTTACCTTGGTGAGTAGCATCTGAGGTCTTAAAAGCCTGTGAGCAATCATCTAAGACACTCCACTGGTCTCACCCCTTCAGGAGAAAGGGAGAATGAACAGGATACAAGGAGAAGATTAGTCCAAAGGACTAATGGACCACAGCTACCAAGGCCTCCACAAGACTGAGTCCAGTACAGCTAGATGGTGTCTGACTACCACCACTGACTGCTCTGACCAGGATCACAACAGAGGGTTCTGGACAGAGCTGGAGAAAGATGTAGAACAAAATTCTAACACACACAAAAAAGACCAGACTTACTGGCCTGACAGAGACTGGAGAAACCCTGAGAGTATGGCCCCCAGACACCGTTTTAGCTCAGTGGTGAAGTCACTCCCGAGGTTCACTGTTCAGCCAGGGACTGGAAAGCCCCATAAAACAAAATGGGACTAATGAGGCACAGGAGTCCAGGGACAAGGACTAGAAGACAGAAGGGGATAGGAAAGCTGGTGATAGTGAACCCAAGGTTGGGTAAGGACAGTGTTGACATGTCGTAGGGTTGTTAACCATTGTCATAGGGCAATATGGGTACTAAATGTTTAATGAGAAACTGTTTTGTTCTGTAAACCTTCATCTAAAGTGAGAACAGCAGCACAACTGGAAGAACATAATATCACTGAATTGTACATGTAGAAATTTTTGAAATGGTATATCTTCGGCTATATATATTTTCACCAAAAAAAAAAAAAAAAGGTCCTTCAAGGTCGAGAAGGGAGAGTGTTGACATGTCGTGAGGTTGTTAACCAATGTCATAA